ATAGACAATATCACTGACTCCCCCCAGTTTTCTTGGACAGTCTTCTTTGCTCAAAAACTGATTGGATACTTAACCCATATCCTTGAACAATGCGGTAAGAGGTCATTCGGACCAAAAAACAGTTGTCAGTCTCCCACCCGCTAACTACTTTCCTATGTTTCTCTGAAGGTCTTTGCCCAAATTTGTTTATGGAAGATAGCAGCTGTAACAGGATACCAAGCATTTGAGAATCTTGAGCCACTTTGTTCTTCTACCAAGAAAATTGTTACCTATTACCGTTTCTTGTTATTTTTATCATTAGTAGCGATTCTATTTGCTTTGAAGCCGTTAATTTTTGTCCGCGCGGATCACTCATTCGCCATCATAATACAGTCTCTATGCCGTGCATTCTGCAAGAAAAGCATTTTCAAAAAACTTTATAAACTCCGTTACCAAAATTTTGTTAGAAAGTGAAGAAAATTACCAGCCTGATAAAGGTTTTAATCCCCATAGTTTGTTAATAAAAACTCTCTTCCTTGTAAACCTCTTCATCCATTTGACCAAGCAGTAGTATTTTCTTTTAAAGACAACGCACCCACGAGTTTCATCGTGCCAAAATGCCTGTTCAGTTGAGAAAATTCTGCATTCCCTTTGTAAGGTAACACAACGATTCAGTCACCCGTAGAATGTACTCAGACAAAATCCAGTCTGTTGTAAGTGCATCATACCATTTCCGAGACTCAACAACCAGTACTTTAACTGGACGATGTCCGTGATCCACAGTAACGCAGATAATGTGGCACTACCTCGACTATATGTAATTTATGGCTCCTTAAAATTTAGGATGCTGGTGAAACATATGGGAGCGCAATGTGTGGAGGTGTTGAGAATTTATGGAAATCGAATCACTGGACATTTAGTGCATTCTGTTTTATTTCAAGCCGTCATCAAGCGATTTAAAGTATAAATTTTTTCCATTTCCAATGTCTCTCATTCCAAGAATCCTAGAGCACCAGTAAGTTCTCACGCATTCTCCATCATTGGTCTTATTTGGTTAACAGGTTCGTATTCACATCGTACATTCTTATACCGTTCTGAAAATCGCTTTTAATATGCGAACTTCCGCAGATGTTTTAAACACTGCATCTGCCCACATAGTGCAGCTATTTTAAATAAAAAAATTATAGTGGACACCTCGTCTGGTTCAACACAGAGGTAGAAATAAGTGTCATTATGCATGCATCCAGCTGTGACTCTTTGTTGAGTTGCATGTGTTACAGTAACGGAACTACAGCGAGCTTTTAAATAGACCGCATCGCTTTATTCTTCAGGCGTTTCACGTCGACGGCTTATCATCGGAAGTTATAGCATTGTAAGTCCAAAAAGTCACTTTAAAATGATATTATCATGCAGCCAGTTCATCAGAATTAAAAATTCAATAAAAAATCTACTGATTCTTCAAAGTTTTAAGCCTCTGACATTTTAACACATTACAACAATCACTGGAAAATACTGGTAAAGGTCACTGTTTTTCTACGTCTACACGTTGCTCCAACGACAAACTTCTCGGAGGATGCCTGTTGTCGGATTGCCTGCCAGTATCTCTGACATACCCAGTGTGTCCTAGTTACAGCTTTACACTCTGTTTTTCGACAAAACCCAACGGGTCATCATTGACATTTACCGCTGACAATGCCAGTGTCAAAGCTACTGCCAAATCTTCAACAAGCATATGAACGGAGGTACTCTCAGAGCACAATTGACTTCCTGTAATATTGTTTTTGAAGTTTTCGAGCTCACCCTATTAAAACCGTTAAATTCCATGTATAAGAGTAAACATAAGAGTTCCGACCTTGGTACCGCTAGCAGAACAGGATCGGAGAGATGGGCATTGATGCAAATATAAGCTGTTTGGCGATTCTTCTTGAGGTGGGACCACAATATATGTTGACTCCCTGCAGACTAAAAATGTTCCGAACAATTTTGTGTTTTTCGCAGTGTGACGCGCATCCAATGTCCTAGGCAAGTACTGCTCGGACAAATGTACTTGGTGGATTTAATGAAGTTAATGTTGAATGGCTTAACTGTACAATGGTGAATAAATGATGGCCACTTTTTTATTTTTGTCAAAATCTTGCATTTTTCAGCAACCCTGTGTCACGCCACCTGTCAAGAAAGACATGATCAAAAAAGTTGATGTGGATTAGATGCTTTTTCGCAAATGTACCTGCTTGGCAGCGGCTAGGAAATGTCATGTCACTCATCAACGCCATTAGAGCATATTAGTGTATTCGTCTCCGTCATACAACGCGTTTTAATAGCCATAGACCAATGATATGGAGTAGCCGACCAATCCGTATAAGTTTCCATTGCTCAAGTGCAATCCTTGACAACAGAAGTAATGTAGTATTGGAAGAAAGAGGTTATACAACGAATCGGGTAGTACTGTGGATATTATTATGATATGTTCTAATGTTGACAGAATGTGAAACCTCACAGCTGAAGATAAGGGTAGCACCACAACAACAGTATACGGCAACCGTAAACCAGCTTCAGCAATATATTCCAGGGGAGAAACTTACGCGAAGTGTTTCGATACCTTCATCTCCAGTATAAGTGCAAAGTTCCTACAATAGAAATTGTGTTCGTGAGCGCTCTTATGGAAGATTTTGCGCCACTTTCACACATCACAACAATGTAACCAAGTGTAACCTTTACTCTCTTAGAAAATTGACAACACCAAAATAACAACAATGTTCCCAACCTGATGGAAATCAGTTGAAGAAGAAGAGTGATGAGCGTCGTTGGGATATGTACAGCTGGCATTCATGGAGAGCATTTGCGAGGCGATTTTCTCTTCTAGCTGAGCTTGCAGTGTGGCATGTTCCAGTAAAAGCTGTCGTCTTGTATCTATTATATGGTGAAGTTTTCTCTAAAGTGGGTTGAAAAGCATTAGGTGAGTAACATCAGTGACTTATTGCTCCATCTCTCTCGCTGTTGCATCTTACTGCGTTGATATTGTTCTACAGGTAATATTCAGGTGATCGTTCAGTTGAAGCTCTTGTGTGATTAAAATTAACCTTTCTGCAAGCACTTCCAAGCAAACTAAAACTGATCTGGGATCCAACATACATTTTAAATGTACCACATTTGAAAAACTGATAAGCGACAAAATTGGTACTCGTGAGCGGATTCTAATGGCCTTATTAGGCTCTAACTGTGCCAACGCGCAGATAACAAATGACGTGTTACCAATGTTTAAAAGTAATAGTTTATGCTACAGAATATTTCACTAGGGGCAATCAATACAGGGCATTCTAATTTAGCACTTTTTTAGTAGTCACAGAGTCACAGAATTCAATAAATTCTTTCGTGATAAAATAAGAATGGGTACCATAATTCAATTTTTATCGAATAAATCGGCCCCTGGTAAAAAAACTGGGGGATCTGTTCGAATTAATCATTCCTAAGAATAGTTATTTATCCGGGTGTTTTGGAAAAGTAACATTTTCGTTATTTCTAACTCTCTCTCCGATTTAGTGACTTTTTGTCGAAAAAAAATCTCGCCAACAAATAATACAAAGGATTTATTGCGAAAGACCCTGTTCAAACGTTACAAAGGCCTCATGCTATTTATTGGGCAGCTTTGACATTCATCCGATATGCTTAGTCGACGTTTAGTGAACAGCCATCAACATCGACCATGCTTCTATGTAATGCCGGAATAATTACCATGGTTGGTCTTGCTTTTCTGGCGTCACTGAACACTCATGGGCTTTTGCTGAACGGAAGTTATTAGTCTCTACCATAGACTCACCGAGAAAAGTTAACCTTCAGTGAACTTTTAAAGAAAGAAGAGTATGTTTGTGGCAGAGTGCAGACTTGAGTGGTACTCGAGGACACAAAATCAACATCATTTAAATCCATTTGAGCCAAGGTTGTACCCACATTTCTTCAGAACACACCTATTATTTGTAGAAATGTGATGAACGTCATTTTGATATCTGACCAGTCATTCGATGAGAATCTGTCGTTGTGAACATGTTCCCTGGCAGTAAGTGTACAAATGCCCCTGAAAATACAGTTTGAATTTCCTCACCGTGAAGAAGGCAATTATCCCTTCGCCTGGTTGTTCAGTTTTAGGGGAAAAATTCTGGTGCTGTCAGGGCTGATTCTCACTATAGCATGCCCGAAAGCCCTATGCTTTTTTATTCATGATTCACAAAGATAGTGTGCTTAAGCGAGGCTTTTATGCGATACGAAGATAACTAAATTTCCCATATAATCCTAAGTAGCTGACACATTAAACACCGAAACATTTCTGAACATAGAGGGAGCGACTGAACTCTATGTCAACTGACAGATACCAGGATGTCCGCGTCGTTTGTTTCCCCCCAGATGGGACTGGCTTGATCTCTTGGCTTCAGCACGGTTTCACCAATGGCAAGTCTTTTTTTCTGGAATATGTAGCAAGCTTTGATGCACATTAATTGGGCTAGGTCAATGGTTTGTATCTAAGGGATGTGTGGTAGCCGATGACGCAGGGAAGGAAGTAAACGCCCAACCCGATTGCTGTTTTCTCCATAAAACGTGAACTATACAAAAGACAGAAAGTAATCTACCGAAACGCTTGGTGGAACACACATTCACTGTCTTCGTTTTGTTCCCTCAGTCACTAATATTCCTGTGAAAGTGGTCACTTCACACCTCAGTTGTATTTACATGAATGTAAACAGTCTCTTCCACGGGACTGAGCCGGTAGGTTCAAAACTATCCTTTGTGTTCACACGTACATAACTACAGATAAAGTGAACTTCTGACATTTTATTTGGTTTCTCCCAGAAAAATAGAGGAACTGAACTAACATAAAGCTTTCGAAGTTCAAACAAATTTGTGCTGCTTTCTGGAAAAATTCTAAAGTGTTCCCATATTCATAGAACGAGTTTGAGAATCTTGAATTCATCTCATAGAACCAAGGTGTTTTATGTCAGTCAGTTTGTGTGATCTGTGGTGCTAAAAATCTAGATGAGGCGGGGCGGTCGACTTGCCTGAAGTAACTGATCCATTTCCGATCGTAGCATCAAATGCTCATGCTTGATCCTCTTCACGATCGTTTGCACGCGAAGCAAGACCTGATCCAAATATTCATTTTCCGAAACGAGCTATCGATGAAAACAAAATACATAGCAAAGGTTACAGATATGAGAATACAACCGATGAATTTTTGGAAAGAATGCGGCTAGCTAACAGGATATCTAACTATAAAACACCTATCGTGTAACAGCCGTTCCAACTTTTCGAGAGACAAGGAAAATGACAGAATAGCTATCCTGTGTTAGAAGCAATGACTCAGTTAATTCGCGGATGCCTTGTTGTTCTGTTTGAATGATAAAGCCTACGGCCAGAACTACGCATTGAATACCGTGGATTTATTGTAGTTTGTTGGCAAAGAGAAATTCCAAGTGAAGATTCATTTCATAGGTGAAGATACGCTGTGCTAAAAGGCCCAGAGGCACAGTAGGCTGTTTTATCTTTATTTTTGTAGCACACGAATACGGTATAACCAATGATGATCAATGCGCATTGAACTAAAGGGAATTTAGCTTTTGCTCAGATATCCAAACTTCCCGCGAAAATTTGGCCTGCGCAAAATGCAGCCAGAGAGCACATCGAATTTTATGTTTGTTGGAATGACGCGGCGATGGATTCATGTAATCATCCTGCACCCATTTTATGAAGAAAGCATCCCACCAGAATTGTTTAATTTTTCCGTTATTTCACTTTCACCTTAATAACGTTTTCTGTTGCAATCACCAAGCAAGTTAGGACAAAATAACTGCATTCTTTGAAGAGTAATGCATACAAATCTGTAGACTGCTGTGCTAAAGCTGGAGTTCAGTTGTGGAATAAGAACGGATTTTGACATTCCGCTCAGTTCCACGCGACCACTTCGGAAGCAAAGCTTATAGAAGCCAGCAAAATTTATCTTCAAGACGCTTGGTTCACCGTTTGGGACTCTGAATGTATTGACGTTCATTCGTCTTGAATTGTTTTACCGAAGCTCGCAACCACTTGATTAGACTGATTAGTATATCATGAGGCTAATTCTATTTTTGAGATATTCCCTTTACGTTTAAAGCAAACATTTTACTTTTACTATCATCCCGTCATTCCTTAGGTGTTCCATTGTTGTTATTTTATTATACGCAGCATGCTTGCAGTGTGAATTGGCATAGTTGTTTGTTGCCGGTGTTATAGAGGACTTTCGAGAGCGTCGGCGTCCACCGTTCAACTGAATGTGGAGAGCGGTCTGAGAGCTGGACTCAAAGCTATTAATATGTTGAACTGACTGGCCTCTTCAACTGAGTTACGTCCCAGTGGAAGCGAATTTAAAGACCATGACTATGTTTTGCTTGATTTCTACGTAATGGATTGAAATTACAAAATGAAGCTCCCGTACTTATGGAACTTGCTGCCAATAAGCCAACCTAAACCTGCATGAGTTGTGTGATCATTTAGTTCTGATGCATAAGACGCAGATACCAAATGTGACAGCAAATTGTGCGATAGAAATCCTTATGGACTTACTGGGAAGAGAATATGGGCATCAAAGCCGCATTGCAAAACAGCGTACAAAACCCCTAGAAGTTCATCATATTTTATTTTACCTTGGAGAAATTTATACAGAGAATAAGGATTTGTCGACCTAGTGAAAAGTGAATTAAGTATGGTTGGAACAACTGGGCCTGGTTTCCAGTCCGTACGCTCCACAGGATCAGTTAAACGCCAAAGACGTGGCTGTTCCAGTTCGGCTTGGATAAACGCAATAAATATACAAAATTGAAAAAGGCAGTCTGGTCAAGTTTTATCGTAATTGGCTAATCGCCCACCGGTCAGTGTTCGTGAAACAATTTGCCCAAATTCAGCTTAATGTTTTTGATCAAATTAACGGCTATTAAAGTTTAACTTTACCGATTGCGCACTCCCACACAGGTAGGTGAGATTTCTCCAGATTTTCCAGCGAGGTTCCTACCCCAAAAAATTAGCATGGCCCTACCCTATCAAAACTGTCTGCACGTCTCAAAGTCCTGGAATGTAAGTTTCGGATGATGGTAAATTTCATTGCCAAAGGGCGCACCATGAACGTCATACGGTTGAATGAGCCGTTGCACCTAATCGTAGTATGATTCACAATAATTTTATTCACATGGCACATTTCTGTGGGTTTCAACCGCCAAAAATTTTAATTTGCGGTGCGATTTGGTATATACTCCGAAAGCTGATTTTCAACTTGAATACAGTCTGCTTGATAATCTGTCTACAGCATAATTCATCTTGTCTTTCATAACTCAGAAAATCTGATGACGACCTAATTTTTATTCTTTTTTCGGAAACATTCTGCTTCAAGGCAGCCATTTGGACTGGAATAATATATATGCGGATGTTTTTACACGTCACATGAATGAATATACTCACTCATGCTACACGAACACATTAGGCCATATGGATTGGTTAATAAGAGTTCGTAGGTTATTGCGGAATATTTTGCTCCTAAGATCAGCCTCATATAGACAGTTTCCTCACAGACCGTATCCGGTGATCTGCACGCAAGACGCTGAAAAATATTCTTATGAATATGAGCAAAATTGAATTTTCTGAATATGCTCATGTTGGCAAACATCATTCAGGCGGTGACAAGTTAAACCAGTAGGATACAAGCGCTGCCAAAAATCAACGGTACGTTTTGGTCAGATTTGACCAGAATAGCCGATATGGGGACATTATATTTGTGGAGGTCGAAAATCATATTGGGTACGTAAATAGTATTACCCGGATGCAACTAGACATCTGTTACCATTACACGGTATTGCAGAAGGTGAACGCGCATATTGGTGAGTAGCTAAAAATAATGTAAGTCAGAATTAGGAAACTGACTGTAAGTTTTCATGGAAAATAAATTTCACTCTCAATTGCGGGAAAAGTAAAAATCTCCTCAACACCAATTTCTGTGTTTATGAGGCAAAATTGCACTGTACGCTGGATGATCTGAGAAAGATTTGTCCTTTTATCGGACTACTTTATCATCCATTTGACAGCAGAAATTCAGCCTGTCTCCTCAGCTTTGTCAAAAGAGCCATCAATATTTTCAGGAAAGACAGTGCTCAGCTCCAAAAAAAATTTAGGCTGGAGAATCACTCGGATTATCGGTGAAATGTCACCATAACTTTGTTGTTTACACACAATTTTGCAGCTAACTTCCCGCTATCTTTTGCCTGAAGTTGTCGAGTTCTTGTGAATCCTAAAATCTGGTCTAGTAGAAGCCGTCCAGAGAGTTGAACCATGCGACCAACTGAGAAAAGATGCGCTTAGCTACAGAAAATTAAAGTGCATTCAAGCTTAGCCCGGACACGAGTTATGCATTTTTAATATTTTATCATGTATGTTCATAAGCCATATTTGAAGGTCCACAGAAATCTAGAGACTTGAAATGGAGTGGTGAGGTTTTAATGCATTTTACGAGAAGTCTGCAGCAGATTAAATGCAGTATATTGGAATAAATACTCTTCTCAAGTTACATTTTTAGGGTTTGCACACTGACACACTACAGTTGAATTTCAGTGATGACAATCCCTTCAGTCATCATTTTACAAAATGGGAGGTTAAACCACAGCTTTTTTTGGAACAACTCATAAAAACCTCAGTAGGACAACCCACTACGAAACTTTGCCCTTAGATTGCGCACGACTTGCTAGGCAAAACCATTTTGTCTTCGTGTTTAGAAGCAGGTCACTGAGCGTATCTAAAGTTGCTGCACTTTGATCACATCATGTACTAACTGAGGAGAATACCCATACACATAAAGTACAAAGAAAGCAGTACCTGATACATGGATCTGGCTTCTGTTGTATCTCATCAAGTACGTATGTTGAAGTATGAAAACATTCTATGATAATATTCACTAGGCGACAGATTTGTGTGCCCATCAGCAAGTCAACCAAAACAAGGTAATAATATTTGTCACTAGATAGATACTTTCACACTTCAGACTCGATGCTGAACTTTCAACAACTGCTCAGGTAAGAAGCTACTCACGATGGATCGTTATAAAAAATATTATGGCATGACTTTGTGATCAGATTCACTAAGTGCTTCAGCCTTTGTGGCCTCATTAAGATCACTCGTTCCACGATGCAATTTATATGAAAGACTAGCGCCTGATCCTCAAAAAAAACTTGATTTGTTTACCCGGATATTTCATCTCAAAACTTTTCTGGAACTGATGTGATTACCCGATTTGAGTAATTACGTAAACAATACAAAACACCCACTCTGATTCTAGTGGTCATGTAGGAAAGTCAATTCAACATTGAGATTGGCCGAGTGCATTAAATGTACGCCACACGTGTCGTAAGTTATGTACAAATTTTGTCTTGAAATAAGCTGGAGATACTTTAGCAAAAGCTAATCAACAAGGCTGAAACCATTCAAAATTTCGGAAAAGCCTAAGCGAATTTATTTTTCAAATCGTCCCATGCAAAATTCAACCAAGGATTGGGGGTTCATCGAACCTGCGTTACAACTAATTCATATAAAATAATCTACCTAAGCCAACGAATAACATGTTTGGAGCCATTTTTTGTGAAAATTGTTTTACTCCACACATTAAAAATATTGTAATGATGATAGGAAATCATAATGAATCCTTATTTCTAATCGCCGTTTTAACCATACGATGCAGAAGCGCTCTCTCGAGTATCGATAACCATGATACTATCAAAGGATTACTGTGTCCTTAGGGATTGTGGAAGAATCCAATTTGAGGGTTAGTTCTAGTTTACTGGGTACTTCCGCCAGTGCACGAGCAGCAGTTAATTGTCCGCTTTATCCACCAACTTCCGAAGTTCAAGGGTATGCTCAAATCAACCGGAGGTCTGCTGTACAAGTCCCAACCAAGCATTTCGTCCCCAACAACGTCTGGCATATTGTGAAAAGCGGACTAGAGGATCCACAATCGCCCTCGAGAATGTGAGTGCTAATCTTTTGTAAGGAATTTACGCAGATCAACATGCTGGTTAACTACATTAAGAAGACAACACCATGTGACTTCCGCCGATTTCGTGAAACGAAATCAAATCCCTTCAAGCTAAGTAATTTGAAAATGAAAGGCTATCGGACTAAATTAAAATGTATAGAAGGCTCTATCGTTTGAACATTCAAAATGAGATTTTGAAGAACCTGATGAAAATATTCAAACGCCTCTTACTAAGTGGGGTAGATTTACACTGGACACAAGCGGCCCCTGGTCGCCTTTTTCCTGAACCGGGTAATTGTCTTGGTTAGGTCAAGGACTACTTTCTATGCGATAATTTAAACTGCCGAAAAACGGAAATGCAAATGATGCAGAATAGATTGTATACACTGCAAAACCTTCAACTCTAACCAAATGATAATCACTTGGTTGCATTGCATTAACTGAGTGTTAACGACAAAAAGATTGAAAGTTAAATTTCAAATACAGACTCGCTAAATCTGCTGAAAAATGTGAACCGTTTCGAAACACGTCCTGTACATGGAGGCTTGATCTAGTCATCTATCTTCCTTTGGCTTGTCTTGGCGTTAAGGTATAACTGATATTATACCTCCCATTTTATGCAAATCATTAAATAATCTAGATGCTTTGGGAAATGTCACGTACTTTGATATAAAAGCTATGGGATCTGGGTATTTTAAATAGGATATCAAGTTAGGAGCGATAAAATACAAACTCGAGTTTTCAAAAATTGTGGTAGATTTTTTTAAGAATCCTGAAGGCAGTTTTCTGTTTTGCGCGCCATCTTCGAATGAACCAGTGAACCGATGAAAAATTAGTTACAATATATAATGTCTCAGGTTTACGGGATAACAAATTGCACAAAACAAAATCAGAGCATGTGTTCAAAATTGGGTAAGCACGTACTTACCTGAGCAGACTTGCGTAATTTATACGCCAAAGCACTATTCTGCGCTATCAGGGATCTCCTCTCCTCGGAAATCTGACGAACTTCTTCTTCCTGTAGGAAAGCAAAAAAATTGAAGTTACTCTGAATGGCAGCCGTCAAGCACATGATTAGTTAGATCGTGTTCTTTTGGACAATTTGGTCTTTTTTGATAAACGGAGTGTTAAATTAAACGGCATTAATTGTAGCCATTTTGTTCTCAGTTAACGCACTTACAAAACTAATGGAAAAGACTATCATATAAGGTAGTTGCCTAAGAGAATTGTTACAGATCCATCAAAATCAACATGTACGCCAACTCAGGTTCTCTCACTTGTCGCTTCCTTGATTATAATTTTGCTTTTCTCAAAGGAGACAGACTTTCGCAAATCAAACAATGCAAAGTTGTATTCGCTGCGTTGCATATGCTTGATAGCCTGTTTGTGAACTGATTTTATGCAGCGCCTATTTTGTGTTGTAAGACAGTGTTTAGCAAATACGTACGTATGATTCACTTTAGTTCACGGCATGTACATGAAAGACGACGCATTCAGGATGACAATTCAGTGCATATATAATCATCCTACAGTGTCAAGTTAGTGGAATGAAGGATTCCGTTTGCCAGCATTTGCAATGCAAAAGCCTAAATTTAAGCCATTTTCCGCCCCAGTTTGATGGAGCTGATGGAATTATGCACAACCTGGCCAATGGTTTTGTCTGAATACCATTATGGCTATACTATCCGAAGCAATATGGATCCCAAAATTCGACGGATGAGTTATTTTCTTAGCCTTAATGAGAAGGAAGCCTTTACGCCTTACGCCATAATTACGTTTAATTGCAAGCAAACTACGCACCACGCTTCTTGAAAATCATTTCCATTTTCGGTAGTTTCAAGAAGTAGCAGAGTATTGATGAGGTAATTTACCGTCACACAAACTTCAAAAACGTCCCCCAACTAGCACTTTGGTGAGGGTTTACTTTTAGATGTCACAGCAACGCGAAAAGTGTTTATTAAATATAAAACCAAAACAAAACACATAAGACACTCATGATGTATAAAGATGTGCCATGCGACGAATATGTGCGACGCGAAATCTGATTATGAAGCAACTCGACGTTCGGTATCCCGTGCAACCCACATGCAGAAATGTGCAGTAGGACGCGAGGACATTTGGAATGATAGATTATGCAAACATATCGCAAGAAAACATTTTCACTAGTGGAAATATATGCGAATTCCACCAAAAAATTATCATTTTATTTTCACGAACAATCTGTTTTACATTTAGTCTGCTATAGATAGATTAGTAACAAAATCCGCTATTCTTAGGCTGTAAAAATCATATTTACACATGATTAGTATGCGAGGTGGAAAAGCTTTCCAAAGATTGCTGGACAACTAAACGTCTGCCTTGATCACTAAAAACATAAATATTTAGCGCGCATCCACTTGTGCTGCCCCGCTTTAGTCTGCGAGAGCAGTGAAAACTCAAAAAATACGATCAAAGGTTAAATAAGGCTAATGAGGCCTAAAAAAGACAACATTGGGAGGATAAAAAGGGTAAGAAATCAAACAGGACGGAGACAAATATGTTGAGTGTAAATCCAAAAGTTAAATAAACACTACATTCACCATTTTGTGACCGATGACGGAAAATGGTTCCTGTCGGATTTAGGAATTTCGCCTTTGTGACTTATTTATAAGAGTTTTGCCTCTTTGGTGGTTATACCTGATGCTGTGCGGTAAAAACTGATCGGTTTGAGGATTCTAGCTGGTGTGATGAAAGGGATGCTTTAAGGGTGCTCGTCTGTTCTCTCAATCCTCATAAAACACGTCTAATTCTTCCATGAAAAATGCACATTATTAGGGCTTGGTGTAAGTGAAAAAGAGAGCACTGTCTGGCTGCACGAACTGAGAGAACCAAGAGCGCTCTTGCAAAATTCATATGCAAGCGCTAATAACATATTCTTCTTCTGAATATAAACGACTATATTCTCACGTAAGACGTTCCTATTTTTACAGGCTTTTGGGTGAAAATAGAGTAACGGGGCACAAACGTGTCGTAGGTTGGTTAGTTTCAAAAAGATCTGGTTGCATTTACGGTTCTCTGTCGTGTTTATTAGTGCATGAATGAAGCGATGGATGATCGTGCTTTGAAGGCGGTGTTGCTTACAACATTGATTGGGATGAAGCTAATGAAATGGCTTACCCGTTCGGCAAGGAATTCCCAACAGCTCCAACCAAAGTCCCCGTGAAAGTTGATTCGAAAGGGAAGTGTCAGGCTGATTCTCCAAATGCTGTGGTTCGAAGTCCAACTAAGTATGTTTTCAAACCAGCTACCCCGGTGAGCATCGGCAGTGTCCCTAAACCACCGGGGTCCGTGCCACCTTCCGATCAGTCTTCCCCAATGCAAAATGGCATCGGATTTGAGGCCGATTCCACTGGGAATTTCAGTGCTCAGAATGGTTTCTCATATGAGGAGGAAGATTTGACGTCCAAGCCCACCCCGAATTCAGCTCCTTTACCGGAAGAACTAGCCGAGGCTTTGGAGCAAGCTTAACTATCAGGAATTACGGCTCCCACTATTCCAGATTGGTCTGATGCAAACTTCGTGTCCGAACCCTCAGATACTTCCTATACCCAGCCAACCCCTTGTGACCAGCCCGCTCATCCGAACCAAGACCTCACAGAGATTGATTCTTCAGCGCGTCCAACCTCTCTTGCCCAACCACTCCTTCATCGACCCTGTATAGATGATGAGTTAGACAATCGCGCCCGGTTCGATACCTCCGTGACAGAGAGTTGATAAAGACCATAGATGAAATGCAACGATGCGTTATTGAGTACGATCGAAGCCTTTAACATATGATTGCCGAGAAATCTTAAGGAAAAGCACAAGTCGATGTTTCTGTGAGTGACCTAATCAGCGAACAAGACCAAGCGGTCTAAGAAGTGGTCACCATAGCGAAAGCATCTGGCGACCTGTATCGACGGTTCGAGACGTCCAAGCATGTTATCGAGGGATTTAAGCAAAATGAAGAAGCTCTCAAACGGAGCATAGAGGAGTACAGAAGTCTGTTACGGCAACAGGAGACTTAATACTTGGCAGCCTTAATGATCAGCCTGTTGATATTTTTTGTCCCAACAAGTTTATTGATAATTTACCACGGCAAACACCAAATACCAATTCAGTTTTGTAAAGTAGCTGGTCACTTATAGCTCATCTCAAATGTACGCCCAAAATTACTTAGTGAACGTATAATAAAATAGGCTGTAACCAAAATTTGGAGTGATGGGCCTCTATATACCTGAAAAAGTAATAGGCTGAACTCCAGATAAATCGAAATGTTTCTACTATTTTGGATGATTGCTCAGTTTTGAACCATTACCCCGGTAAGCATACCTGCACATGCGTATTATCCTCGAAAGACTGGTCCAGAACCTTTTGGTGACCAACATTTAATTTTATTTATTATGAACACCTTTGAGGTGCTAGTGTCTACACCAAAGTCGAAATATCTCGGTGGTATAGAATAGAAATCTAATGATGAAGAATGACAGTGTTTAAAATTACATTATACTTGGCATAACGTACCTTTAATCAACATTGTATTTTAAAAAAGCAACCCTGTAGATGACGTTTACGAGCTAACTGCTTTTAAAAAACCAATTATTGATTATGGCTTTATTCACATTAGGATTACTTGAGTAACATGGTGACCGATTTGTCGCAAAAATGTATTTTTCCCTTAAAAGCTTTCACAGATTGTCTGAACCAAACAGGGATATTTTTATGTTGGGATTTGTACAAAACTATATAATCAGTAGGCTCAACGTCTCCCTTTTACCCACAGTTCAGAGTGGTTTTGGTAGCTATTTACACTTTCTGATAGTTGTTTCGCTTGCTATACATGTTTTTATGCAAAAGCATGATAAAAACGAGCTAGAAATGAAAAGGAGGAATGTATTGTGGATTCGACTTCAAAATTAGTTAAAGCCTGTCCTCGCAAATTATGATACATGGTGACCATTACGTAAGTGAAGCTATCGGCACTTTCGTATACTAGTACAAGGAATAAATATGAATATAACCCGTTGTAAAGATCAAAATACCTCGCGGCTAGTAGAATTGGTGTCGGAACGGCTTTTGACGAGAATGTTCCACTTCACTGTTTTCACCTCACCGTTGTATATGTACTTACTAAAACTATCGCACTGGCGCCAGTTCTGTAATGTTCAGAAAGATAATGAACACTGGAAAATTTCATTCTTTATATTTGCGTTACAGTCTACGAGGAAAAACGATCCTAGAAAAATGCGACTGTCCTCAAAGATTTCCATTTTTTATGTTCTATATAATATGAATGACAAAACATATGTTCCAAAAGACGTTTCAAGTTAATGACGGCTTTAAATCCACATCACGTTTGTCCATACCGCCACCCGTTTGATTTACTGCCACAGTCTCAAATAGCTTGCGACCGTAGGATAAGCATTCTATTTAATCTTTAATCCGTTTGCAGTGCTGCTTTGTAGTGCATGCATTACGATATCTTGCTATCTGTCGGCAGCAGTAATATTAAAGAGCAGATAATCCCCAGAGGGACACTTCCCCTCCTTTTAAGGGAATTAGGCAAAACAGAATTAAACTATTCAAATTGTTAGCTTTGAACAAAAAATCTCTACGAATTCGGACCAACCGTTATCTTGGATTTAAAATAGATTTTCGTGCGCCTAGTAAACCAGGCAGACCGTAAAGCTTCCCACTTACAAATTCTACAGGAAAATTGCTGCCAAAATTTTTATCCATCAAATGTTGTAAAGACAATTTTAGGGCAGGTCTGTCAGTGTGGAAGCGTTTCGCTTAAATCATCAAAAACTGAACTCGACTTAATCAGACAGTTAAAGATACCTATTACACTTATGCAAAAAATGAACCTGGGATAAATTGCTGTTGCCATCTATCCTGGCTTAGTAATGTTTTAAAAGCGCCAGACAGTAGTGGATGATTTATCTACTACGTACTTTTTGTGCCAGTTTGCATTTCCTTGTTTAGTCTTTAGTTGTTGAGATTGCACGACATCCTAGTAGCTACGTCCTTAGACTTTTCATCAACCCGAGCAGTGATGTTAGCGTGATGTTGTAGTGAATGTGACAGCAATGTAGGTACATATTCTGACCATACAGATGCTGAGCATTTACAAAATATAATCGGACACTGCCCGATGATGGAATCTCCCGTTCAACGTTTTCACTTGCAAATGAGAAAGATTGTAAGGTGTATGAAGAGGTTTGGCGATTGATACCGGAGATTTTGTCCTGTGAATAAAGTTAGTCGGTACTTAAAAGAAGCGGATCTCTGCACAGTGATTTCAAAATAATAATAGTAATAACCAACAGTGCGCACCTCATGAAACCTTGTGAAGATGCAACACTAAAACTTCCTGACCATTCAATTCGACCGTGATCAGCTGATGAGGAGTACGAGTAACTCACGAGATATAGTGTTAATTTGCGTGCTTGATAAATGAAACAAAAGGATTTGCATCTAATTGTGGGACCTGACGCATGAAATCAGAGGCATAGCAGATAGATTAGATTGCATGGAGCCTACATTTTTAATACAAATAGATTATTATAACCTACGAGGTTTACAAACAACTTTCATCGTTAAATTGTGGTGTCCTTCAAAAAAATCATTTAGTTCAACTTTCTGTTTGTGACATGTATATAGAGGCACACCTCCTTCTGATGATTGACGGATCGTTTGCAGTTGTAAACTTAACCAAATAATTACTTTGACTTTTGTTCGGTGCTCTAATTTTAATCCAAGTTCGGTGGTGCTTTCCCCCAGAGCTTTGATTTTTGTCGTTTTATGAACTTATAGTTGGGTAGTTAGCATTGCGCAGAATCACGAACATTGATATAAACTTTTTGTTTTAAAAGCGTTTTAATCATATAAAGCTTCAAACCTAACCATTTTTTGAATACAAAAAGCCGTTTGCTCATCAGGTTTGAACTTCAAATGGATTAAGGAAAGAGAATAATTATAAAATACACAAATTTTCGTACAACATTCAAGGCTATGTTCAATAAGAATCGTGAAGTGTTTTATAGTTTCCTTCTTTGTATTAATACACAAAGTACAACATTCAAGGCTATGTTCAATAAGAATCGTGAAGTGTTTTATAGTTTCCTTCTTTGTATTAAAGGAATATCTTACTTTACTTGCTCGATCATAAATGTCCAACCACTATAGAACAAATTTTGGACATCTATTTAACAGTGGCTGGAAATTAAGAACCTTAATAATGAAATAAATGAGCCTAACCAAGTTGTTTTTTTTTAGTGTGGTAATATACACACTGGTTTGCAACTTGTCCTGAACAACAGTAACGTAGGCGTAGAGCGCAATCAGAAATGGCGGACTTAACTCAAAACTTTCGTTTGATGTGACCAGCTGTTCCATCTATTCAACCACGTTCAGTGTACTTAACACTGACAAGGCGGGGACGCCAAAGCTTTTAACCTGCTCTAAAAAGTCAGTATTATTTGGTCAGGCACGCTGTTGTCGGCTGAGTGGCAACCAAGCAAAGAAGATTCACGCTATACTTGTTAAGAGCGAGGTTGTTGGCTGTCTCTGCAGCGTTTAAATTGATTTATAAGATCATTGTTCTACAGGAAAAATTTTTTAGTGATACTGACAACATGCGGTCTGAAGGATCACACTCATGAAAGAGAAGTAAAATACGCATATCTGCTAAACAGTAGTCGGAGTGTTTAACCAAGTAAACGACTGTCTTTCTGTAACATCCAATAATCCTGAAGCCCTGGACTTCGAATTGAACTGGATGGTGACTGTAAGTGGTGGTCGCATTATGGAAAATCTGTTAAATTAAATAATATTTCATTAAACTTTGAATCGAGAAAGCCCGGTTACACAGGATTCTAAAGGTGATTAAGTGTCGGCCGGTCGTTTCTTGCTTTAATCAGTGCGTGGATGATATTTAACAAATCGCATAATACGTTTACGTCGCTTACCGATGGGCTTCAATCTGCAACATGTTTAGGGTTGAGCAACGTTTCTTCTTCGTCCAAGTCTCTGCTTGTACTTTCTGTCTCATGAATTACATTCACGTAATGGAGCATTTGGAACCCCGTGTAAGTTTAAAAACCTACCTATGTGAATTCCCCACGTTTTACCACAAATAGGATGTATAGGACATAATCGGCCAGCTGGCACATAATAAATGTGAGTGGAAGCCTAAAAGCAGTTCCTTGAGAAACTGACAAAACCCCTTCAGAATATAAAAAATGTCACTGTTACCAATCATTCAAGGGGAAGAATTGGCGTGCGAGTGCAAGTTTTACTCGAGTGGAAGCAGTTTTTCATCCGATAGCGATATCGATAACATAACTGTTTAACAACAAAATAACGCAAAAAGTCAATGAACACATCTCTGCAGCTTATCTGGCGTTACGCCAAACCGCGCTTTCGCATATGGTTTAATGTGCAGTTGATAAATTGTCCAGTCAAACAATACAGCTTCTGAGAAGCTTTCATGTATCTACTGATCCATGAGTAACTTGTCAGTCCTTTCTTTCCATAAACTAATTACCGTAAGATCAGGAGCGACATCCTCACATTACGATATTCTTCAAAACGTTTGTGTCGTGCGTTCAACAAAGAACTTATTCTTTCTATCAAGCAAACTTTCTCAAGTTTGTTCAGCTTTTCTATGCGGTAAGCCACTTACTTACTTACTCGTACTAGGCAATTCCGTAGATACAGAAGCGTTCTAATAAGTGACAAAGACAAAAAACGGCGCTTCCCTTTCGCAGGCACATTCGAGTCAACCTATCGCGGACTAGTGATGCGTTTTGTTACTGTTAAACCGCCCATTCAGCTGTTGCCTCCTTAGAATGTTTACAGCGCACAACCCACGGCCTTCTCAGGAGTGGACGCTCGTAACAACAGTACAGCCTAATCTATTGTAGAACACTATTAAAAAGACAAAGAAATCCATTGCTAAGTGTATTCTTCAAGTAAACGGTCTTTATTTGCACGGAATCCTATTATTTTTGTCTCTGAAAGTTTTGTCTCTAATGAACTTATGTCATTGGCTGAATGCGCGAAGTTTGTTGGAATATTTCTCCTTAATGCTGATGTGTAACAAACAAACAAATAACTATTTAGCAGTAATATCTCTCGGGCAATCGTGTACTCATAAGGCAGCCAAAATGTGGGATTCGCGCCATTACTAAGGCATTACCAAGACACCACCTTCTTCAGACACTCCAAATCAATATGCCTCCTTGAAAACTTTAACCTCATTGTTTGCAAAATTCGGCCTCAACGAAAACCATGCACTGCAGGTATGAAACACTGGTGTCCTATAGCCGGGCTTTGCTAAACAGTTCTTTGTTGTTGTGGTAAAATACCGGGCAAACAAATCCGCTCTTCTACAGATCCACTGCCCGGAAGCAAAATTCTGGATGAGGTAATGTAAAGAGTCTAACTGAGTTGAACAGGTAAGCGGAATCGCCGCAACTACTTTTGGCTTGGTGCAAGTGACCTGCATTAAGCTTTACATTCAGGAATGCAAAACGTGCTGCTCAAACTTATCACTTGTTTGCGTAAACAGAACTAACTGGTTTATACATCACATTAAAAACAAAATAAGGCAAAACTATGCTGTATTTGGTGTCCGTTGAATTAAAAGTTGAACACATTCCATGAGTTAAGGTATTGGTACTATTTCGCAGAAGACAAGTAAAGCTTTAATGATGAAGCAACTGATCGTCTAATCCGGCAATAATCTTTGCAGAAAAAGTGAGCCAGTTCCCGATCCAAAAAGTGGTGTCGATTGTTTATCAGTCACTGGAATTTATCAATTTCAGAAAACGTCTACAAACTATGAGATTTTGAAATCACCTTGCTAAGACTCAGTGTTGTGAAATGATACGTGGTCAATGCTTCGCAACCTTAGGCACCAGAATGCATGTGTCTTGAACTTAAAGGTTTGGATTCAACTGACGGTTCCATTGCTACGGGCATGAAATTAAATCCCCAAATCTGCATAAGGTTATATCTCTGTGGCGCTAAATTTTGCTAAATTGTGATCAAATACCTCGAAAACCATCTTCAATTGAAATAAAATTGGGTTCAGCTTTTATGGCGATTTTGGTTTCTGCAATTCGCCCAACGTTGTGGCGACAGGATTTTGGACATGGCATTTTAAAAAAGTCAGTTCAAACTCGTTCACTTTTTTCCGTAAAAATGACCTCCGTTGACTGTGGATCGAAGTGCATTCTCTATCATCAGGGTTTTCAAAGGTTTGGAATGACTTGAAGGTCATTCATATTGGGACATTTTGCCTTACTGTAGTTATTACTGATTCTGTCCTAACGTCTCGTCTCATGTTTGACAACTAGCCAAAGGTACATCTGAATGGGAAGCCACCAATAAGAAGAAAAGAAGGCATGGTGAATCTGTTTGTCTCCCACGACGCATTTATTTTCAGGTTCACGTAGAACTGTTACAGATTCTATGGCCCACATTCATCGCCGCCTATACTCCTGATCCCACGCGATTCCAACTTTCCGCAGGTGTAAACATGCACCGCCGTATTTGAGTACCAAATGTGGTGTCCTTTTCGCCTAACTAGTCAGCGGATCTGGCAGTGTTACTCAGTGGAACGTTTCATGTGCTAAAATATCAAATTTCCAATCTGATAGATAAACTGAGCACAGCACATTAGAAGCATAGGACAAGCAAAATTGAGGCGCGCTCAAATGTTTAAATAACAGCACTCATGTGAGAAATACGAAATAGAAAAGTCTAGGAATAACGGATACGCTTAGTTCTCAAGTGTACAGGCTGTAAAACATAGAGAAACACAAATCCAGGATACATCCTACATTTCGGGGGAAAGCTCATCATACCAGATAGTCGTGGGCTGATTCAGAAAATTATTGAATATTATCTAGAACTAACGCTTTTAATGTTTTTATAGGAGTGTTTTCGCTGATTTTGTTTCGTTCGTGGTTGTCAGTGCTACAAATTGCGTTCCGCAGGCTACTCATTTCTTTGTCATAAAAAGATCTTTTCAGAAACATTGGCTGTATTTGTGATTTCATTCGTCAATCAATGATTCCTCTATACAGCCCCGTACTGAATTGATTTTTTCAAAATACTTTTATCGTAGCTCAAATGAGCGCCTCAGCCTACACCACGGGAAACACAGCAGCAAGATTTATTTCAATATCGATAATTTGGTGATTGAAATTGCATATCTCCTTTCAACGAGCGTTTGGTTGCTAAACATTTTCACTGATCCCATGTTTATCATTACAATTCCAATATGATTGCAGGGCAATTTTAGGCACTTTTATTTGCGCTTACAAGAGATTTGCCTGTTTTTGCCGAAAAGGATTAAATAAACTTCACAATTGTTCACTGTTGTGTTCAGTCGGTTACCGGAAAAGTACATCAGCGACATATATGCCCTGTCAGTGCATATATAAATACATTTGAATTCATTCTCCCATATGACGTACAAACTATCCTCTATCTAAGGCAGAGGTCTCGTGAGATCTGCACAGATGGTACACCAGACTCACAACTGACGTTTTCGTAGTGGACGCAGACAAAAAACAGGTGTCTTAAGTATGTAATAAAATACCTGTGAATACAACCACAAGGATATCTGCTAGGCTCGGTGGTATATATTTTCACCCTACCTAATTTCAGAATGGTGCCTTTTGAACACTCCATAGCAGGACGGCAACTTGGGCATATTAAATGCCACTTAGGGAATTCAACGTTAACAGCAAGGATAAAGGGTCAGATGACGACAATTCTAACACTTAAAAATCGTTTCATCATTACAAGACAAAATAGCTGTTCTACCCAGGCTCTTTTTTAGCTTAAGAGCACACACTGTTATCAGTTGCGTGAGTAATTAACTCTTCATTGGTCTGTTAATGTTTTCCGACTTTACTTCGGTCGTGTCAGCCAAAACCGCTGGTTGCAACAAACACAATATCTCATGTTGGAGACAAAGTTTACGGCCCCTCATATCTTTATACTAATGCTTAGAGATCTACGACTGCGTTTCAAAAGAAACAAAATTGAAGCAGCCCTCTGTGAGAAATGCACAGTTCAAAACGGCTATCAATATTTAACGTGCTTTCTACTGAAACGCTTTGATTCACAATCGCGCAATTCAGGCGATTCTGGCAATTGTCCCGATTCATGCATCAGATGACAAACGCAATTATTTTGTAACAACTTTTCTAAGGTTTGGCGCCGTTTAACTAATTGCACTTGTAAAACTCTAGCCAATTTTGGCTTCTGAAGAAAAAAAGAGCTTGTTGTAAAAGTTTTTGTCATTAATCTGGTAAAAAAACGTTTACGATAACCGTACACAAATTTATCGTTGACAAGAATAAGTCCATGAATTACAGATTTTTGTCATAGTTTGCCTAACAAATTATTGCTTTCGAATGAGCTAGCCCTGTTGTAATTTTAAAAAAATCTACGCACATTTCAGGTAAACGCCGTAGATTATTCATCGCCAAATCACTTTGATACAATGAGGAATGTGAACGCAACTGTTTTCATTGGATAAACGTTTACATGCAAGTTAGCTTAACTCATTAATGCAACAGTTTTAGGATCAAAAACAAAGAAACTTTCAAACATACCAGAATCGCTACGCGACCGGTTTCAGCCTCTATCCAATGGGAGGATGAATCGTGGTGAATGTTTTGGCAATTTTCGTAGATGTCCTCGTTGACTGCTTTCACAAAAGAATTCTGATACGGACGGACACAGTCTCTTGTCGACTGCTGGTGGCCGGAATCGGATGTCTTTTAAAAAATGCAAAACAAGTATTGCAATTTTGTAGCCTTCATTCGACAATATTCCAAACGACCACGTCGAAAATTATTCATAAAAATGGGCAGCGAGAATGTAAATTTGATAACCAAATAATGTGTTCAAAACAAAGTGAATGTTCTGTTAAAATCCATAGGACCTTAATTACCATTCAACATAAGGCAAAGTACGACTGTGGTCGAAAACCTGGTAGCCCTTGACCGTAGTTTTGAAACCGAAGACCGAAATAAACATGAATAGTCACTAAGGCCGCAATTTGGAAGTTTCAGACAAACAGATGTCATAAATGTCTAAGACACGTTTGTCTGCTTGTCAAATAGGTCATCGAATGGCTTCCTCAGACCCGGCTAGGACGGGTCTAGGATGACAGAAAAATACAAGTTAATTATTTCGTAAACCTAAATGAAATTACTCGTTCACTCTAGGGGACGATTTTCAAACACCACCTTTATTGATTTATGTTAATCGCAAGTAAATTTGTTGAAGAGGATGTTTAACTTCCGTCATTTTTAGGATTTAACTTTCAGCAAAACTAAATGTTTACCTAAGTTAAAATCATTTACCTGCGTTTCCGGAGAGATACATTTGCACTATTTAGGGCTCAAAAACCAGTAGTTTTAGGTTGTTGAACCTGGAGAAATTTTTTTAAATGACAAAGTCACTCGCATTTGGCTTGATATTTCTGCCGTAAATAGCCTGCTATTGGGATATCGCTGAAAAACAGTCGCTTCAGACCATTTTTTCTACCGACTTGATTTTCGATACTTGGTCGTATGGTTTGAAGACTGCTTGGTGCACTTTATTGCGTACGTCACTACAGTTGATTTAGATCAGCGTAATTATCAGTGGCCATTGTCCGATATATAAACATTATCGCGCTTGGATTTTACCGTATGATGCAAAAACGAACACATTTTGCTTTAGATCGTTCGTTGAAAATTTGCGCAAAAGTAGTGCACACAAAAAAATAAAAATTGCGTTTGCATAAAATTGCATAAGAGAAACACTAATGTGATCGATCGAATCAAGAATTTCCACCCGTCAGCATGTTCATTATAGACCATAATGGCGATTATGGTGGACTGTAATTTGTTTCAACAGTTCAAATTACTGTTTGTGTTGAAGTGTCTACCGGAGGTAAGTGGGGAACTCGTATGACGCAAAGCGACATAGTTTAAGCTAACGTTGGAGTTAAAGGCTCATTAGAGCAAGCACCTATTAGTACGACGACAAAAACTGAACGGATTCCCAAAGTAAAATATTACACAGTACTAGTAGCATGCTGCATAAACTTAGATTAGTGAGAAAATTCAGTGCCAAACAATTGACCAATCAATTTAGTGCATAATGCCAACAACCGCATGAAACATTCGGGAATAGCGTAGAATACACATATACTAGCAGTTCAATTCATTAAGTCATTCTCTATCGGTCGTCACTTATGTGACACAGGCCTTTCAAAGGAGGTGCGTTCAACGGGTTGCACTATACGATGTAACCTGTGCAGTCAAAGAAATGTCTGACCTACTGACAAAAAACAGCCCCGTTCACACATTGCAATATCGTTCGGTTCTTGTCACACAGTTTTAAGAGTAAAATACTCACAATACCAGATGACAAAGCATCACATACGTCTGTTCAGAACGATGTGCTAAAAATTTCGTAATTTTCCGTCACTTAGTTTCCTGCGTGCAAGCTGATGGACCAAACATTATCCAAATATGGACCCACCCTGACCGCGTAAGCCATGTTAAGCATGTCAGATCATTGCATCACACACAAAACATTTGCTAGCGCAATAACAAGACTATTTGACTCAAGTTTTGTGCAATAAATTTTGCGACTTTTATCCAAAAATGATGATTATGCCACTGAGACTTGACAAACGTATTACATAGACACAGAGACAATTCCTTTCGCAGATAGTTTGTTCTTAATTGATGTGACATTAATAGAGTGAACTGGCAAACCGGTTTGCATAGATTCAAACATCAATTAGTGTTAGGTTCCAAAATACAGACGTTTTACTCAGAATCAATTTACTCGTTTGTTATGCAAACTAAGTTAGCAGTATGCTGCTATTCATCGTAATCAAAGACAGTTGAATCGCGTTTCATTTCTTTACAGTTTCTTTTTTATTCCTGATATTCCACAAATTTTGTTAATCTGATATCAGTAGCTGACATTTTAAATTTTTAACAGCACCGATACTTGATACGTATTCATATTTTATTAAAACCGTGCGTTGTATCTTGCGCCTTTAACGTCGTAGTCAAATACATTTAAAGTCACATAGTTTTTGTACCAATGCTCACTGTTTTGTCATTAGCTGTGATCTAATAACTGGCCTTTAGCTGAACTAATAACACTTGCCTAATTACGTGTTTTCATTCACTTCACAATAAAATTATTGCATCACAGGTTGCCTCTCGGAGCGTAAAGGTCTTGCAGTATGGTGTTACTTGTGTTCGTAACAAGATTGAAAAAAACAAAATATTTTGGTTTCTGAAGTTTGCTGAATTTAAGACACGACACAAAAGAAATAGGACGTATGTTGTTAAATGGAAACTGCAAAGAGATTCTCAAGGACCGACAGATATTCTCGAAGAAGCTTGAATTTGAACCTGCTAAGGCTGGAGTTTGGCAGTAAATTACTCTGAGTGGGTGATCAAAATGAAACAAGCCATCCTGGCAAAAAGTAGACATCAGAGCAGTGCTTCAGTAAACGTGCAAGCGCCGAAAACAATCGCAGATAATCAAGGGACTTCAGTTTTTCATGCATTATCCTTTTTTCTGACTTTTTCTTGATTTCTGTGGATATTGCGTTGCGTAAAATGGTCTGCTTTTGTAGATCTAATTACATGGGTAAAACATGTGGTCAGCGACAAGGGTAATCGACTGTGAAGACCGTCTTGCTCGTGCCTGATTAGGAAGGAAAAATAACCGTCCACTTAGCACAAGCATTTGTGTTTACCGGAAAATTACCGGCATTGGCTATTTTTGATGCTTCATACCCACAAAATCTTGAGCAGTTAAGTATTGTGCGGCTTGCTTTAAAATCCTTACTGAGACGAACTTTAGCTGGTCAGTTCATATGCAAATGATACCATCAAACCAGAAAATACTCTCACTTAATATCTTGTCCTCATCCATCATCTTTGTATCGAACTCATCCGATTCCAAAACTGGAACTCATAAGCTTGCGTGAAAAGCTTTTTAGTGAAGCAGAACTGTCAGACTCTTCATAGACCACGTTTTCTCGACGTCATGAGAGTACAAATATGCATGGCAGAGATATTACGTCTTTCGTAGCTTACTTAACAAATTGCGTCTATATTTTACCATTGTCATCTTGAGTGGCGTTGTCAAATTTAATGTATTTGCGATAGTTACAGACGATGCGGTGTTATACAGAAGAATTTGTATTCTGCCAAGTTTTTGAGAGATTTCGTTATTTGGTGATTACGTACACAAAGTACTAAAGCAAAGTTTTTTTTCACTGTGTTTCACCATCATGCCTTGCCGACTTACAGTTTTTCGGAACAGACCCCATAGTATGAAGCATCGCCTTGTCGCTTGCAGAATTAGATCAAGTGGAATGCCGGCACCATGTTTAAGTGAATCTAGGTCAACAAGCGACATGAAATTTGCTTGAATTTTTATATGTGATGAAGATTATAAATTGAACGCTGAACTCGGTATTTGTTATCACTAAATTCACTGGCTGGGGCATGATTGATCTTTTGGATGGATATCTAGTTGGCGCGGGATAGAGCATCATTTAGCCTGCGCTCTTCTGCATTAACGAACAAACTCGATGAGTCAAAACTGAGGCCTAGTAAAATAAGTGACACTTTATCCAAAACGGCAGGCAAAAAATGTAAATAAATTAATGCCCCTGCATGCTATCATGCTCAGGCTAGCCAGTTGCTCTCATTAATCGTTTGCATGCTTGACCTGTCATACTTCCCTGTTTTTACGCGCTTTGATGATGCGCACTACTGCACTCACTGAGTAATAAGTGTTACAGGCCTGAGAAACGAACACAATAATGACAAATAAGCACACAGGCGCTTGTAGAGAACGTATGATGAATTTGTAAGCAAAATAACCCACTGCGAATTTCGGGTGTAAGCGTTACTTACTCCAAACCGACCGCCATCCCGGTATGTATACACCTACCAATGAACGTGTTTGTATGGAGCTCTCCGAGTTATAAAACTTAGTTTATAGGCTTGTTTGAAACAAAAGCAAACTATCGAGTAACTCACCTAAGATTCAGTCCAACTTTATGCAAGCTGAAAGCACCCTATTGTGAGGAAACGCATCTCTGAATGACTTTTATTAGAAAAGTTACGCAATTTATCAACATATCCTGATAGTTACGGCGACTATGGTTTGGCACGTTAACTTTGAATGTTTCTATGTATAATCTCGGAAGAGATCAACACAAATGAAATGCTATGAATGGGCTTTATTAATTATGAAATGTGTAATGCGGTACCAGAACAAGCAGACTTTGGGAAGAAAAGAAATTTCTGACCATTTAGAATGAAACCTAACCGGAAACTGACATTACCGTAGGCAGAGATAGCACTGCCTGCAGGTTAAAAATATATCATCAGCTAACGAAATACACATTAGTTTCTAAAAAGTATAAGTCTGGTGTAAATCCAAATACTACACATTTAGTTCAAGCCAAACAATGGACCAATGTGTTTCATGTCTGTCTGTCCCCATAAAATACAGCAAACCGAGCATTCCAGGAGTGAAAGTTGAGTCACGAATAATCAGCCCAAAATAAAAACACCGATTATTTGAACAATGCGGGAAATTGAGAGAAATGGAATGTCAGTTAAAACCGCAGTGGTTACGACTAGCAGATAATCCCGCTTCTCGGGGGCACATGCGACGTGTTCTACAGCATCAACAGCCCTCACCGTAAAGAAATAAGCTAATAAATGTTTCAGTATTCTTCAAACCTGTCGGAACAGTTACGCGCATAATAAAGCACCTAGATTCCTGTTCAAACGAAGTCTAAGAGACAGGCCAGAGCGTGGCGCGTGTAGTGTTTCTAATCTAAACTGTGAAAAGTAGACGCAGTGGAACGCTGGAAGAGAAAACATCAACATCCCGCTTGTCTTCCGGTTGCCTGAACGACTGCTTTACAGAGTTTGAGTAATCCGCCTGCGTGGTTGAAATCTACAGTCGATTCGCCGTACTGGCATCCGTGCATCGAACTTTTGTGTATCCAGTAGCCAGCAGTAAGCTTTGTTCTGTTGATTTCCACAGCACTCTCGACGGTAATATCGCTCAGATACTAGCACGATAACGTTTCAAACTGACAGGCAGTAAGAAGAGATCCATATTGTTTTCAGTGTTTGCCAAACAGTGGTAGTACAAAATTATTTCACGTCAGGTATGTCTCAATAACTGCTTTATTTTGTGGTCGTTGACTTGTTCGCTGAGCTGGGAAACTGTTTGAAACCTGCTGCAACATACTGTCAAAAATTTGGACGCTTGGGTAAGGGGTTAATTAGTCTGTAGATTAATTTGTAATGTGGTGGGTTATCGAGAATGATTCGTTTTACATAAGCAACAACCGAAAGCTAATAACAAGAGAGATTCCTATTTGGATCACTATGTTACAAAATGACCTAAGTTTGAAGTAAAATTCTACTCAACTTCAGACTCCTAGCCTGAAGATTTATGAATAGAAAAGCACAGTACTTCCGAACAACAACATTTAAAATTCAAACGCATGGAAGAGTAATTTTAGAGTTTGCAAATTTCTTATGAAGAGTGCTTGGTTGGAATTGTGTCCAGCAAAATCAAAAGTCACGTTAAGGCATTTCATTTCTAGGTATGGAATTCTCATCAGCAGGAAATATTTCGGGATTTCCAGGCCGGGCAGGTCAGTCTAAGCTTCAATATATCAGCCACAAAACCCAACTTGAAGGTCCATTGGTTGCAACTGCTACAGAATTTGTCACCAGAAAATGGATGGGCGTGGGGGTTATAGCCAAGCAATGGAGGTGATGGCATGATCAGTTAATTCTGTAAATCAGATAGCGACGCGTTGAATTTGACAGCTATGAAACGAGAGGGCCGATGACTGCGTGATTCATCCGTTTCTA